ATTTGGAGATTTTTAAATTTCCTGAAAATGGCCACCCCTAGAGCTTGGCAGCATAACCGAAGACATTCCGGAACCTTTTTGTTCTATTCAATCGGAACTTTCGCCGGAAATTTTGATCAAATGGAACGTGCCCGATTATGTCGCATGAATTAAACTCAATAGATACTAAGGTATGTGTGTTTTAATATCTAGATTGATCCACATTAATGACTAAATTTACACGCATCTTAAAAAGACATGTCTTTATCTCTTCCCTTCCCCACCCCATCTACTTTCCAACGTACGAAATTTCAAAACCATAGTCGACGAAATTTCAAAACCATAGTCGTCAAATTGCCATCAAGGACTACAGACTTAAAAAAACATTTCTCTATCTCTTCCCTTCTCTACCCCATCCACTTTTCAACGTAGGTCATGAATATTTTTTAGTCTCCGCCGACGAATTTCAAAACCATAGTCGTCAAGATCGACCCACTACCAATACAATTTTCCTTCTGCTGGACCCTCATGTCGTATACGTCTGTCATGTAAAGTAGATGCTAGCTTTCGTAAGGTAATACACATCAGCCAAATTATTTACAATGCTTATCTACATGAGTGTTTCCTATATCCCACTCATTCAAAATTAAGACAAAAACCGCCGCTTGGTTCGCTCATGTTGTAGAGCGCGAAAACTGCGAAGCAAAGGTCGGACGAACAGTCGGGGTCTTAAAGCGACAGAGGAGAATACGCTCTCTTTAGTATGTCATCTGCAAATGTTTAGACAGTCTAGTATTTTCGGATAATAACTATGAACCGCAGACTCTTTCTCTCGAAACTTCTCTGTACCGGTTAGCAAGCTGTTGTGGTTAGGCTTAAGCTCCAAAATTTGCTAGTTATGAACAAATTTATCCTAAAAAAAAATTGCTTACGTTATTAACGTATTCTGGCGAAGTCTCCCGCTAAGTGTTGTAAAGTTTCATAAAGTCATGGATATGTCGCTATAGAAATTCCTTCAATATTACTATACCATTGAATTTTGTGGGCTTAATTATAGCCGTTGAATGTGGTTAAAATACCACTGAAACGTGCCTTGTTTTTGAAACTTTAATGACTAAAGCACTATTTAAAGGGGGTATTGAAGAGCCCTGATCATATTGACGCTCTTGTTGTTGACGAAGGAAGACCTTAGTGCAGACATAATTTGCCGTACGACCTTCTGAGGCTAATTGAAGGTAAGTAATGTTGTTTGATTGGATACTTTAGCCAACGTTATTTTCTGGACCTACCCACAAAGTTTAAAAATTGTTTTATCAATCAGCGGCTCTGAGAGGTTACTTGCTGGTAATTTGATAAATCGTTGAATTAAAAAGAAGAAAGAAAAGGCAATACTGGGATAGAAATAATAGCACAGGCAACATTCGAGGGACAGGTCCCCTTCCTCTCCCCCATTTCTTATTCAAACATATATAGTTTGCTTGCACATACAGAAAATTAGCAACATTCCATGGCTTTTTCACCAACTCTTTTTTCAGGAGCAGTGACTTCTCGAAGAGCAAATTCTGACCATGAATATGTCAGCTTGTTAGATCGCCTCCTGATCCAATGTCACTACCTGTTATAATTCTGTCGATAGACCCCATCACCCTATCTTCTCTTCTATTTCCTCTTTTGAAGAACACTTCACACTCGAAAAACACCTGTAAACTGTGTTAAACCTTCTCAACTTTATTGTTTTCTTTCCCTACCACTGGGGGATTACACAGAAAGCTGAACGTAATTTAGATACAAGCTTGAATCAATAAGGATTGAAAGTGAATGAATAGATACACTTTTTTACGTTCTTTCTTTTGCAAGGAATTTGCGACTTCGATGAATATCTGTTTGCTTGTTAAATATTGAAGTAGTTTGAATACCACACCCCACGTCCGTTTCTGACCCTTAAAATGTCATTTAGTGTATTTTTGACATTTTTTTTAGCGTGGTTAAGATTTCTCTTTACGTGAATAGACTGTTTCGTGCCTTCTTTGACCTACACCTCTATGTTGAATCAATTTTGTGATCATGGATTTTTCATTTAACAGACATGAGAAGCTACTTGTTTACCGTGTTTTTGCTGACCATTTGCGTCGTTTTCGTGGAGTCAGCTCCAACACAAAATGATGAGTCTCCTACTAGCCAGGTATCGTCGCTAGTCCGTGACTTGGGTGTTACTCCAAAGTCCGGTTAAAGACCCTGATGAGAGCAGCGCGACCAGTGTTCATTTAATGGGAGGATAAAGGAATGCTTTTCCGCTTACGAAATAGAAGGGGGAATTTACTAAATGCTGTTTGGTTGAGACAGATGGCATTTCATTATTAATTTTTGTAATTGCCCCGGGCAAAGTTTTTTGAAATCGAAAACGAGAAAAAAGGCTTAACTTTGTCTAAAAAAGTTTTATAGTTTTCATTGATGGAAAATGTTTTTTTAAACAGACCTGGTTTCATTGCTATAGCGTTGTTGTGCAAAAATAAAAATTCTCTCAGCTGACATTTGTCTGAATTTTGTTTCTGCATGGAGGTTTCACTTCGATCAGTGATGTCCTTACTGTAATTGAAACGCCTTTCGATACACGTTCTGATCTTTAATCCTTTAACTCCCATGAGTGACAAGGACAGATTTTCTCCTTACTATATCAATACAATATCAAGCAGAAAAGTGATGAGAATAAAGGTAAATATCAATTAGGGGATTATAAATTGATCCAATACCAAATTCTCCAAACTAACATCACAAGAACTGAATGGCAGACATCAAGGAGAATTGCTGATGAGATCGTGGTAGTAAAAGGTTTAATCGCAACTGATCCTACCGTGGAAATTTTATTCAAACGTAATAGAGTTTGCTAAACTGCCCAAACTTAATTACAAGCTGTGAAGTCTACCTTTACGAAGGTGACTGTTAATTGTGCAAAAATTATCAAAGCATGACTCATTATTAATTATGAACAGGATAATCGGATTTCAACACAATTGTGATAATTGGCAAAGGGTTTTAACGGAACGAGTGAGTAAACGTGTCGCGTGATTAAAGCCAAAATTAATGTGACGCGTGCATTTTATAGAATGGCGAGCGTGATTCGAGAATTTATGAACCGATGTGAGGCGTGATCACAACTTAACCCATATTTAATTAATTCGGTTTGACTCCATAAATCTTCATTAACCGTTTCAGCCCTACTGTCACAGAGAAACGTGGTACACAATTGACGATCTTAAAAACAGGATAAGTCTGATTTCGAAAGCAGTGTACCTCATAAACATGTAGGCTTCATGATGTTTCCTTGAGTGCGATAGATGAGTTGTTAATACTTTAGGCGCGGCCGCCTGGCCTTATTTAGAGAGACAATTTCTGAACATAATTTCATGGAAGTACATTTAGGATTTAAGATATAAGAACTTGATATCGGATTTTCAAGGAACCATCCTTCCTTTATGTAAGTAAGTTTTAGGGATGATCGAGTTTGGCTTTTGAAAAGTGATGCACCGATGCGGATTCACCTACAAAGCATGTCCATCATAAAAGGTGCTTTTGGAACATAGTATTCACAAATTATGATGACTTTGCCTCGAGCCTCAGGATACGTGATTTTAAATAGAGGCACGAGCGATCTAAGAAGACATGGTGTTTACTGGTGAGGCATTAAAGCATCCTCCAGCATCACTCACTCACTTATGCCCATTATGCCGTGTGGCACGTAGGGCGGCTTTTTTTTTTGCCGTTTCCGTAACATGGGTGTTTTACGGGACAGGGTTGTTATCCCTGTGCCCAACCCCCTAAACTGGAGGACCGGTGGATCGCGCTTCGTCGGACCTCTACCCTTCGACCTGTCTGGCTTGGGTGGCCCTACTAGGAGATGATGCTCCCGCTGGCATAGCTTTAGGGGTCTCCGAGGCACTCAAGCCCGCCGACCACGACATGGTGGTGATCCTTCGGGGGATCCTCTAACATAGAGGAACACAATGCCTGTAGCAAGGCGAGGTCGCTATGAAAAAAGTGTGAAGAGTTGAATTTTTTCCTACCCACCTCATCAGATACCTGTTGAAATATTTGAAATATCTTAAGATATTAGGGTTGAATTATTATGGTCACTATCATAGGCCTTTCATTGTCATCGTCATCGTTAGTCCTATGATTATTATTATTGTTGTTTTTGTTATTATTGTTATTATTACTATTGTTATTATCAAAATTACAATTATTGCTAATATTTTTACCTGGTAAATGAAAGCAGCAGTAATACAGTGTGCTGATTATTTTCCTAGAAAGAAAAAAATTTCCTTGAAAGTGTCATTCGATGTGAGCATAAATTATCTCAACGATCGCATTTATTTGGGTTTTCCGCCAAACAGGATTGCAATCAATTCATTAATTGTTGTTATTATTGCTATTAGCATAATTATTATTACCACTATTGTCATTAATATTATTATCGTTATTTTAATTTTAAGCTGTACCACTTTTCAAAAACCCGTTTATTTTTATTTTATTTGATTAATTATGAATGTGCAAAATTTTGGGAAATTATCCATCAAAACTGTTTTAGTGTTCCTTAAAAGCTGTCATTCATTTGACATGGCTATTAGGAAAAAACAGATCCAACGTTCAAGTTCGCTTCGACCAAACATCTGCTCCAAAAGGTACAAATGAGAATTGCGCTTACTAGCTCTACAAGGAAAACATTAAAACAGGGAGCATGTGAGGATTGAGTTTAAGCTAAAACGGCCGCCATCACAGCATAGTTATCTAAATGTTAATTTGCTCGATCACAAACCCGTCACGAAAATGCATGCAACTTACATTTAAAATGACATTATCTTTTGAAATGGAAATTTCTATGAAAAACTACTCAAAAATAGCTTTATCCCAATAATTATTAAAAAAAAAAAAGTGACAAATGTATTTAAAAAAAACCAACGGCAGCTGAGTTTTGGACATTCAAACTTGCCAGCAAGGTAGTACGAAGACAGTGAGAAAACAAAATGAGTTTCTCTCGTTGCCTCGTTTTTATATATATCTGTGTTTACGCTTTTGTTCACGCTCGCTATAAAAATGGAGATTTCATGTTGGGTGGACTCACTTCTAGCTCTGTTCGTCAGTTTCAAGACACCGAGGCCCAATGCGGCGGTAGTAATGAACAATTTGGTGTCGCACAAGCAATTATCTTCGCCGTCGAAAAGATAAATAATGATCCATACCTACTTCCAAATATCTCCCTTGGATATGACATCAGAAATTACGACGGAAATATTACTAAAGCAGGGAAGATAACTTACGAACTGTTTGAAGATACCCTCTGTGCTAGCTCAGCAACCGGTAATAAGACCAAAAGGCAGCCTATTGTTGCCTTAATCGGTCCCTTCGATTCCCGCACAGCTTTGTATATTGGCGGAATTCTCCGTATGTTTAATGTCTCTGGAATAAGCGGAACAACAACCAGTGGGGAGCTGAGTTCCAACAGTTATGCTCATCTGTATCGTACTGTGCCCTCCGATACATTTCTTGCAAAAGCTATGGTCGACATCATTGAACACTTTAACTGGAGTTATGTGGCTGCCGTTGGACTTGATGACTCGTATGGCAGAGGCGGAGTATGGTCTTTAGTCAATGAAGCAACGGCTAGGAAGCATCCATTTTGCATTGCGATGACTGAGTTTATACGTCACGAGGCACAATTTCCTAGCATTAAGTATGTCGTTGAAGAATTGAAAAGCCGCGAAAATATCAAAGTAGTTATCTTATGGTTATATGGGGACTATTTGCAAAGGTTTATAGAAGAAGTCAGCAGACAAAACCTCACAGATCGCGTTTGGATTTTAAGTGAAATATACTCGATTTCGAAAGAAAACGACTTCATGGATTCAAGATTCTCTGTCTTGGAAGGATCTATAGGATTTCAACATCATGATTACAATGGGCACGAATTTAAAGAAAGCCTAAAAACCATTCTGACGAACGCGATGACTGATAATATGACTTCAGAGTGGAGTGATGTTGAGGATAATCCATGGAACTGTCCAGGATTTCGACAATCTACGACAATTCCAAATCTGAGCAGCACCACAGCAATGTTGTTAATGAAATCTACAGCAGTTACGTTCCATACATCATCGACGCTGTGTACTCAGCAGCCCATGCTCTGGACATATTGACCACAGATTTGAACGGCATCGATGCCAGTGATCTGCAGCAGTTTGATGTGAATATTAAAAAAATGCAAAGGGTCCTTGGAAGAGTAAATTTTACAGGGTTAACAGGGAAAATTAAGTTTGACAAATTTGGTGATATAAACTCGGCGTCATATGACATTTTCAGTATCGAACGAGTATCATCCGAGACCAATGGTCTTAAAACCACCCTTGTAGGAAAATGGGAAAATCATGCAAAAAGTAAGGCTCAGTTAAATTTTTATCGTGAAATTCTTTGGAGGACTGTGAATGGTGAAACACCAAAATCTGAATGCTCGGAACAATGCCAGCCAGGAACGAGAAAGTCGTCTACTTCACCTTGCTGTTGGCACTGCGTCCAGTGTCCTGGCAGCTCAGTCAACCCTTATCCTGGCTCTGCGAGTTGTGTTGAGTGTCCTAAGGGTAGAACAGCTAATCAGGCTAAGACAGAGTGTGTAGCTTTGCCCTCGGCAAACTTAAGCTACAACAGTGTTAGTGGAATGTTTATTCTTGGGTTTGCCACTTTTGGTGTAATTCTCTCATTTTTTTCTTTCGTAGTGATTGTTAAATTCTGGAACAGTCCTATCGTCAAGGCATCCAAAAGGGAGTTGAGCATTTCTCTCCTATTATCTGTTCTTTTGTTGCTATCTCTGACATTCATAAATGTCTTGGAGCCCACAAATACAATTTGCAGAATTATTTATCCGGTTCGCTACTTGACATATAATCTTTGTCTCTCTGTCTTGCTAACGAAATTCTTGCTTATCTCGAGCGCATTTCAGGTTCCAATAGTGATCAACTCTCTCTCGGACAGAGTTCAAGTTTGTATTTTAATAATGTTGCAAGTACTGCTGCTGATTTTTATTCTACCGTGGCTTCAACTAGATCCACCCTTTAAAGTGCAACATATTTATTCCGAACTCTACACTTTTAGTAAGTGCAAAGCATTCACTAGTTTTACTGGAAAAAGCCTATTTTCGGTAATATGTTTTTATGTTTTCGTCCAGTTGCTACTATCCGCAGTTTTTGCCTTTAATGTACGGAAAATTCCTGAAAATTTTAGTGAGGCAAAGCGGACAGCTTTTTCCTTGTACATATTTCTGTTGTCCTTGCTATGTTTTCACCCAGTGGAGTGGTCTATCGATGGATGGTATGTAACGGTTGTGGACTGTGTCACAACTCTGTTGAGTGCGTATGGTTTCCTTGGTTGCATATTTTTGCCCAAAATGTATATCCTACTATTCAGACCGGATCTAAACGCCTTGGCCAACATTAGACAAGAAGTCACTCAGTTCTCGTTTGGCTCGAACCGTGTTCGTGTCAGACCTGCTGTTGATATTTCCACTCAGGAACCCCAATGTTAGACAAAAGTGAGACAAAAGCCTTAAAATATTAAGATAATAGAAACGAAAAAGTCTCAAAGTAACCATTGTAACCAATCCAAAGAATAAGTACCTTTTAAGTATGTTTTAAGCGATATTTGGTTGAAGTGAACATTCATTTCTTAAAGGAAAAACCTAATTCTAAGGACATTCAACTTCCATAAAATTTATGTTTGTTTGTACAAGGTGATTAAAGTGAACGTTTCCTAATTGAGTACTGTCTATCTTTTCTATTCGAGATTGAGCAATTGCCTCTACTACACGTAAAAAAAGATTTAAAATAAATAGTCTTGTCTTTCGGTGTGGAATGATTACAAAATAACCAAAGTATAAGATCACGATGTACCAAGCTTTGGTGCATGCTTCTGAATCCTCTCGAATCCCTCCAATAATTTTAAGGCGATTAGAAACAAATGATTTGTTGATTGTCATCTAACACGACATTGAGTTGGCTTCTTGGACGAAAATCGCGCGTAATCCAAGCTAGAATGAGTATTCATTTTAAAATTTTGCCCTGTATGTAATAAACGAGTAATCGCAAGTGCCTTCGTGTAATTAAGAATTAATTGCACTTGTATTTCCAAAGTTCTACAAATTGCCCTCGTCTCTTAGTGATTCGGGAAATTTCTCAGTTGGAGAACTTTAAACTTATGCGTGAAATTGACTCTTAATTGCCCTCGGGCCAATGCGATTACATATATAATTTGAGGTCGCCTTAATTAAAATGCAAGTGAATGTTGTTTCTGAGAAAAATATCTGTTTTTCAGATACAGCGGTATTTAACGAACAGATATTTCAAGCTCCCTGGGCATGGATCGCCAAACCAAGAATTCAAGGCGCCAAGCAAACAGCTGTCTTTCGCTTGACACTTGTGGCGAACCACTGAGGAAGAATTGACGGCAATACAGTTTGTAGTATAGAAAACCCCAGGACAGGTGCGACTGTCTTGCCGACCGAAGGTTGCCTCCAAGATGTCTATGGTTGATCCGCTGCCACAACTTATGGACTGCGTGTTTCTCTCACATATGGTAACAGACAGCAGCTCTTAAAAATAAAAAAAAGGAGGAACATTAAAAAGGCAAGGACAATAAAAAGGACAATAAAAGACTCGGCCAGTGAGAAAAGGAATCGACACTTACTTGTTCCCATAATAACAAGCAAGTGTAAACTTTAGTAACGTCTAGATCTCCGTTACCAACACCAAGATCTTCTGTTTTTCTTACGCTAAAAGCAGATGTTCAAAATTAAATCTTGAAACTGTTACATAGGAGATAAATGGAGAATAATACATGGACGCGCGTAGATATGGAATTTGTCTTCGAGTTTTTCAGATACAGCAGTATTGTGAGCTATCGACTTGAACACGTGTGAGCGCAGAGAACGAGTGAGATGTCGATTTGAACACGAGAGAAACTCCGTATCTACAAGCAACCATGTATTATTTTGTTTATCATATAAACACAGTAGCCCTTTAGTGAAAAGAAATGTCTACTTCATTAATGAATGAAAATAATAGAATTGACAATCGTACAGTACGTTTGCGCTAAGGTTCGAGATGGAAAAATGCGTTGAATCATGATTACAAAAACAACAACATGGGCATAATTTTCAATTTACAAAATTCTCATTTAATGACTTCGCCCTTACCGACCGAGGAAGTCTATTAAGTAAACGGCTAAAATCAGCATGTGGCAAATCTTCCAGTTGTCGATTTTCGGTCACAGCCGCGAGATATGCCATTACCAAAGCCACTGAATACGTAGCTTTCGGTTTTTATTTTCATAGGAAGGTAAGTTTTTTATTGGGTAGGGGAGGGGGGGGGATGGGTTGGGGTATTTTAGACATTTTTTGCGAAAAACGCATGCATGACCCTTCACAAATACCTACACAAAAACATCTGACCCTCCCCTCCACCTCCTCCAAGACAAAAATAACCGGAAGTGAAAATAACTAACCGGAAGTGTTACTCACATAACCGCTTCTGCGCATAAAGCAGTTAATCGCGTGGCGTGTGATTGCACGGTGAAAACTTGAAATTGGGCAAGGATGTACGAGGAATAGGGAAGGTTCTTTTTTTTTATTGGGGGTTTGTGGGTCGGGGTATTTTAGACATTTTGTGCGAAAAAGTCGTGGCCCTCCCACTTCCTAGAATGGATTAATACATGACCCTTCACAAATACCTACACAAAAACATCTGACCCAAGGAAAATTTTAGCGCAAACGCTACCACGATTAAGAACAACATTGATGACCTTTTGAAGCTGAAGGTCCAAATTGATGAGCTGAATGCGAAAGTAACTGAAGATGATAATGCGCTGTTCAATTCAAACGGACGGCATATTTCCGAAGTTCAAACTGACTCGCAAGGTGATGTAATAGATCGAGTTGTCGGTTCAACCCTTCGTAGCTTAAGTGACAAATCGACACCGAAGACTGATTTTATACCAGAACCCCGAGCAGAAACGTTACTGCCGTCAAAATATGGACGAAAGAGGGTACGGGTCGAGAGAGACGATTCGACACCTGTAAACAATTTAGATTAATCTTGACTGGTAGCTTTGCTTGTATATACAAGTTTAAGGTTTCTATACACTTTGCGTGTTTGTTAACAAGTAAGAGTCAACAAAGAGACATAGAGTAATTTTTTCCTTGCCAAAAAAACTGTTACCCTCTCCCGGTTACGAATAAAACAGGTTTTACCCTCCCAATTTGTAAAAAATTTACTCATATCTCTCCCCTCCGAAGCCCCGGCCCACCCCACCCCCACAATAAAAAACGTACCTTCCTTTACATCGGTTTTCTCCCCCTTCTAGGAGAGTTTGAATGTCAATGTCTGTAAGAGATACGGATTTTTCAATATTTTAGCCTCCATAATCCGAGAAAGTTCTAAGAAACTACCCCGATTACATAAACAACGATGGGCATAATTTTCAATGTACAAAATTCTCATTTAATGACTTTGTTCTTACCGACAGAGGAAGTCTATTAGGTAAACGGCCAAAATCGGCCTTTGGAAAATCTTCCAGTTGTCGATTTTCGTTCTCAGCCGCGAGAAATGCCATTAAATACGTAACTTTTGGCTTTTATCACCGTATATTGTTTTTTTTTTCCCTTCTGGGAAAGTTTAAAAGTCATTTTCTGAGAGCGATACAGATTTTTTAATGTTTTAGTCGTCGTAATCCGAAGAGTTCCGACAAACTACCTTGTACTGAGGATTGTGAAGGTTTTGCCGTTCATTCATCAACCTGACCGAGTGGCGCGAAAGGCGAGTGGCGTGTCAGCAGCTGATTGGTGGTATCAAACACGTGTGAAAAAATATCGTATCGTTGTGTGCTTTTGCGGCTTTTCTCAGGGCTAGGAATCCATGTATAATACCGTAGTTTATATAATAAATATTTTTCATACATGATCCTGATGTTATTACTCCTAATTACGCACAATGTCAATCATGGAACCGCAGTTTCAAAGAAAAGTTTTTTTTAAGCCCAGTTTCATAGGTACATCAGGTGAATTTTTGGGTATTCCTGGTTTTAAAGACATCTTTCCCCCATTACATCCTACAAAGGGGTCCCCACCGATGAGGTTTTCATACCAAGAATTTCGCAGTGTTTCCCTGTGTATCCTCGTTTGCAAATGCAAATGTAGCTATCGTCTTTGTATTGTGCAGCGCATGTCCCATTGTTCTGACAAGGCCAACTGATGCAGGGAGACTAAAGGAAAAAAAGGAAAATGAGATTCGTCACGTACATACGCCATCGACCTTAGCCCCCTTTTCTGTAACGAATTGTGTTCTCATTCAGAATTTTCTTATCTAAAGAACTGAATGAGCTAAATATTTTCTGTATGGTTTATTAACAGAATTGAACGCCGGTTGTAATGTACTTCCTGTAAGCCAAAGGTTTCTAATTATTGATGCTGATAACACTGAATGCATGTGAAACAAACTTCATGAGCGTTAGACCTATACACATATTGACACCCCCACCCTGATACAAGGTGGAAGGTGCCCCCCCATCCAATTTTCTACGTTTTCATATTTTGAAAATGTCCATGGATGGCCTGTTTTGGTAATCTAAACTCGAGAGCGCTGTTAAAGCCCGTGAGTTGTCATTCAACCCTTAAATTGCGATTTTTGATAAAATTGTCAAGAGTGGTTTGCTCTTACCAAGATGCTGTAGTGATGAAATTGCTCACTGGTGGCAAACTTGTCCGAGTTGTTGTAAATGTCGGTTGGAAGTAATTGACATAGCAGTTTGCCATTCATGCCATGAAATACGGCCAGGTTAAAGGACAAACAGGATAGTGAGTTAACACAAGCTAAACCACATTCGCTGCCCGCTTTCACAACATTATCCGGTCCAATGGTGGTGACGTTCAGAAAGGCGAACCTGTGAGCTTTAAATTTGGCGTAAGCCATTCCCTTTTCTATGCCTCGGCTGAGGAAGTTGCCGCCTACATGTATGTTTTCTAATGAACAAGTACATAAATGAACTAAATATATCCTGAACGCCATAAAACACCCCTTCTCACACGCCACCCTCAAAGATGGGGCCCATTTAATTCCTAGACTTGAATACGAGGAGTTCTCGTGAATACCATATAGAGCACGTATTTCTTTGGATGCAGCCCGTACAATTTTCAAAACTGAAACAGAAGCTTCCAAACTTTGGTAATTTTTAAATGGAAGAAGAAATTTGTAGACTGCAGTACGGTTCAGCCATTTACATCCAATCCGTAAACATTATAATTCTTCTTTTCATTAGGTCTCCATTTTCGAATTTTTTGTCAAGGGGGAGTGGGAAATGGGACGATAGTTAAGAATTTGAATCTTTAGCCTATAGGAGAGTGGCGGCTATTGTTTAATTAGTTTAGGAAAAGTTTAAATTAATATCTTTACGTAAGCGAAACGGAAATAACACAATATTTAAGAATAAATTAATTAATTACCTTGTGATACTTTTATCGAAAACGCCAATGTCATCAGTAAAACCAGGCGGCTTCTCATCGCCGGACATTTCATTATTTTCTTGCAGCTGTCAATTGAGTAAGGGTAAAGTGATCGTCAATTTACTTTTTTACATAACACTAAAGCTCGACACCAAGTAACGATCGGGTTTATTTTCGGTAAAATCCTGCACGATTCTGGACTTTGGTAGACTCCAATATTGATAACAATGCTTCTCAATTTCGTCTAGGGAAATAAAGTTGAATAAATTATATTCAATTTCACGTCAGCTCAGCGATCTCTCCCGAAAACATGCTCAAGTCCTTGGTATCATGATGCCTCATTCTCTTTCCTCAAACATACCTTCGAAACATAACTTCGAACATTTAATAATTTCCTATAATAAGTCTCTCTCTCATTTTAGATATTAGTGATACAAGCACTTGAGTGCAAAGTGAATATCGCGATTACCTCAGCTTGAACTCTTGAAAACAAAAAAAGCTTCTTGAATGAAAACAGTCAGAGCGAAACAAAATTTGTTTCCAGCTGCGCATCCAGGATTCTTTAAAACATACCAACATTAAATATCCATAACAGTTTTAGATGATTTCCCATAATTGTGATATATGAAATCCAAAGACTCTGTAAATTATAGTTAGCACTTCAAAGGTTATAACAATATCAATATCAGAAAAGACATGTGTTAAGTTTAGTGATAAGGCTAGAGTTCGTAAGCGTTCCTTTAGGCACGAAAGGGAAATATTTGTGCTCGTTTCAAAGCAGGAAAGTAAACGACGTTTGTTTCGTTCTTGGAAAACAGGCGTGAGACTGGTTTAAGTTAGAATAATAAAAAAATCGATACTAGCACTAACGGTTGATGTTTTGCGGTAGCGATTTCTACTTATCCCAAACGATGGGTGGAAACACTGACGACTGACATCGTTACAATTTCTGTTTTTTACAATTAACACAATTCATAAAGTTGTAACACTATCGATTGACACTTAAACCCATGATTGATATTCAGCGCTATCGATCTGCCTCAGAACACCAGCAATTTATAGTTAATGCTTTTAACTGGAGTCTTACAACGGCGTTTGGCGCAAAAACACCGGCGATTGAAGTTCAGCACTAACGATGAACCATTTTAGAACGAAACGGAAATTGATGTACAATTACGATTTGTTGCTAACACTAACGATTGAGTTTTAGTTGTCACTAGCGATTGATATTTCAGCACAAACGATTGAGTTTTATCACAAGCGATTGATGTTTTAGCACTAACGATTGAGTTTTATCACTAGTGTTTGATATTTTAGCACTAACAATTGAGTTTTAGCACTAACGATTGAGTTTTATCATCAATATTTGATATTGTAGCTTTAACGATTGAGTTTTCTCAACGATTGATATTTTAGTACTAACGATTGAGCTCTATCGCTAGCGATTGATATTTTTGGCACACATGACTCCCCATAAGAGTGAAAAGTTGAAAGGTGAGAGAAAAATACAAATAGCACTAAATTTCGTTTGTCCTCATTGTCTGTGATGCTTTTTTTTGGTAAATTATAAATAAGTAAAAACATGATTTCTTGCACATCAAAGCGATCTTCGCATTAGCACTTGTAAATTTTCAAAGACTACAAATTGCACTCGCCCATTCGCCCTACGGGCTCGTGCAACTTTGTTACCTACACATATACAGTTACCTTTACTATCAGCCGTAGTTAATCGTGCAGTCCGCTCGTCCAAGTAAGAGTATTCCTGAAACGAATGTTGGCAGTCTTTAGTATTTGACTTTTCCACAACCCTGCTCCAGCTGACGTTATCATCAGAGTCACGTGACGATTGTGCTTGTCATTCGACTGACAAAGAACTCTTAACCTCACTCTGATGAAAACCTCCAATTAGATTTTCGCCAGAAGTTTTTTCCAGGGCTTCTCTCTTTTGGATGATCAGACTACAAGAGCCCTGGGTTTGTGTCATTCACTTAATAACAGGTCATAGAATGTGTTAGTTTATCATAATAACCGCTTCAATCAAAACATAAAAACGCCAAGAGTAAGGCAAATTGCAGAAGATAAAGATAAATTGCATTCGGTAAAGCCTTGCTCTTTATATCGCATTATATATTACCAACAAAGCATGTGTGAAACAAAACGACTAAATAAAGATGGACCACAAAATGCTAATTATTGTAACTAGGTTTGAATTGTTAGTACTACAACGATGTGACTTTTCTGGACACGTTGTTTATACATACTCATCGGCTAATTCAACTCTTTGATAAAAAATATCTACTCTTCCACCTGACTAATTTCAAACAGTTACTTTATATAGATGGATTTTATATGAAGTTGATTTATGGCCGAATGATTTCCGATTTCGTTGCTTCTTCGAAAATAAAGATCATTGAAATCGGTTTGACAGTCCACCGGCGAACGCTGAAAATAACTGGATACAATTTTCAAATTGATTCTCAACGTGTCGAGAGATTTCCTGAAAGGATTGAACTCCACTCCTGACACCATGGGAACAAGCAGAAGTAACAAGTAATACTTTCGCGTCGTCTCATTATGTTCCTAACTTACGCCTGGATCGGTTATTATTTATTTAGTATCACTGCTGGAGACGTGAAGCTAACACAATATCAGGGCACTTCATGGCAAGAAAGGAAGCTTTAAAATTTTCGATCCTGACCTTAGAAATGACAGATAAAAACGTTTAAGTCGTTGTGATAGTTTAACATTAGTCCTATAAAAACTAAACTGAGCCAAACCTCAAGGTTGCATAGTCATATGGATGGGCTGTTTATCACAATTTTGTGTCTCATCGTGATAGCCTACCGTCTTGAGCGTGTCACGTCCTGCTCTGACGGTAAGTTTCCTCGCTTATTTAACGATATCTTTCAAAGAAGAGCTTATCTTTTTAATACTTTCCAGGAATAGTAAGCAGTCAGGAAAGGGACACCAGGTAGAATTCGAGTAGAAACTGTAATTATATTTTTCCTCAGATTATTGGAAATGGCTTGATTTTCCACTGGCTCTCACGACGCCAGTTTTCACATTCAGACTAACATCTGTGCCCCTTTTTAAGCAACGAAAATTTTGCCTTCACAGTGAGGTTTGCATAGGATCCTTGATTGCGTTGCTCTAAAAGACTAATGAAAAATATTACAGTTAAGCTTATGCCGACATTTAAATAGAAGAAAATCTGAGTGATTTTTCCTAATTGAATCTTAACAAGTACCTTCAACGCAGTAACGGCTAACGAACAAGTAGTAAGATCTGTATCTTAAAATGAAAAAAAAAAAAAAAAAAACTGAGCTCAGAAACAAGCGCATTTTTGTTAACTTTTCACAAGAATTGATTACCAGTTTGCAGGTGAATCTTATCATATTATATACTCGGTTCCAGATTTACATAATTTGCGTACGTTCAAATAGTATACAGCGGAACATTTGAGTAGTAAATACAGCTTTAGCGCTAATAACAAACAGAAATGTTGTTTCCATTACCAAATATTGTCTCACTAAAAAGGTTTCATATTTTTTAATCGTTTCGACCGTTCAAGTTAAGATTGGATCTTTGGCAATTTGATGTGTTTTTATGCACTCACCATTCATTAAAATCTATGTATGAAAATATGGATGAAACTCATCGACGAACATAAAAGAGACCTAGGGTGCGTTGTAAGACTAACAAGTTGATTTAATTGCATGTATTGCCTGTGGCATGAACAAGTCTGAGTTTTAGTTTTTTATTACATCTTGCCAATTCCCCTCGATCTGCACATAAGGTTCCCACACAAATGAACAAACAAAAAAAACAAAATAAGAAGCAGGAATAATTTCATATACTTCGCATTTGGACTCACTTTTGTAAATAAAGTTAATGATCAGCCGTTAAACAAAAAATTACAAAATTTTTGGTTCCCAGAATAAAATGTCGTTTCGAACAACCAAACCCCAAAAAATCACCAATCTGAAGAAAGCTTCCTAAAAATCTTCATGCTAAGTAGTGTACTAAAAAGAATTATCACTTTCGTCCTCTTTTCACTTTTTTTTAGGTCAATCTCGCGAATTGCGCTTTCTTTCTTCCTTATCGTTTGAAGGAAAATACCTCGCAAACCACGTTATAACAACGATCAACGTACTTGACAGAGACCTGTGTGAGTTAAGATGTTATGTTGAGAGCAACTGCGTCAGTATTAATTATGAAGTTCAACCAAACGCATCACGAACACACAAATGTGATTTGAACAACTCAACTCATAAAGAACATGAAGAGGATTTGGAAAGTGCACCAAGATATTCATACCATGGAACAAATGTAAGATTAATTTTGTAAAACTGTAGATATTTTTATTGAAAAAGGGTACGGCCTCAAAAGAAATAACTCTACGGGTGCACCATACGAGTCGGCTTAGAAAGGGAAAAACATTTTCTTAACACTGCACGCTTGAAAATCAAAACCATAGCAAAGTCATGAACGCATAGCGTAATTTTTGTTAAATAAAAATTAAAAAGGAAAAGAAAGGAAAATTGGTCCTTTTTGTGGCTCTGCAGCAAGAATAGGGAAAGAGCTGAAAAACTTCACCTTCCTCGAGATATATCAGTAATTATTCATATTCTTTGTAAACAGAAACATCTCGTTTGCAGCCGTATTTACAACTTTTTTTTTCCCGGTTGGATAGCATGACAAATAGTTCAATTTTGCTAATGATTCCTGTGATATGTTACAGAAAGAAGCACCTTGGGAATTTGAAAACTTAAGCAAGGAATCAGGAAAGGATACTGGAAGAAAAAATAGTAAAATTGGTAATTTGTTGAAGCGTCGATGCATTTAGCACCTGTATGCTAATTAGACCGCTATGAAATCGAACGGAATAATTGAATGGTAAATTGCTATTACTGGTGCAGGTGCGAGAAAACTTGAAACTAATTTGGTTGCATGTGCAAATGAACGCTAGGAGCTAGGCAAGATGGTGTCTATCAGCATGATGTATCTCTGGCTTACTAACTGAGCTCACTCGTTCATGATTTCATTATATTAGCACCTAAATGAAAATAATCGTATATAAGAATCATATATATCGTATATATATATTTATAATAAAGTTCGGATATAACGCGCGCTGTCATTGGTTGAAAGAGCGTGCTCTATGAGAGTATAGAGCATAGACCTGAGCTAAAGCTGTCACACCATCTGCCAAATTGTACTATGTTCGACCTTTTCCGGGACTTCTTTTTAGCTTTTTTCCGATAATTGAAAGTGAAATTTCGGAACATGCGAGCCGGCAAGTAGCAACAGAAGAACCAAACAAAGGTTTGTAAATATATCAGGCGCCGTAATTTACATTATTAAAACGTGAGCAGATACGAAAATCCTCAAAGGAAAAACAAAATAGACATTCCGAGTTTTAAAGATTTTCACGCTCAGTTAGATTGCAAGCTTACGAACTGTAATAAAAATCAAACACAGCTAACACTCGTATAGTATATAAAGTTCAGAGTTAAAAAAAAAACAGAACAAAATAGAAATTATGAAAAATATAATCAAACTGACATAACTGTTAAAATTCATACTAATCATGACGGTGTCTGAGCAAATATGATCATGCTGAAGTCCATCGCGGCTCGCTTAGCATGGCGATCTCCGGTCATTACAGTAAAGCAAGCCTTAGAAACTACATCGGCCGGCCTTCGAGTGAGAAAATAAGAGCTCGCTCTGATATCCTTTCTGATACGTTGAGTAGAAAGTCACTTCAGTCACTGCAGTCGAGTTTTGCGGCGCTGTCATCCCGAGCGATCTTCATGTTCCGGTGAATTCGGCTGTCGTTCATTTAAAAAACACTCGCCTTGAACAGTTTGTTTTCTACCTTGTCATGTGAAAAAACTCGCCTGTTTTTTATGAGCCATAATTCGGCTGAAGTTCACTGAACATTTCACTTGAAGATTCTGTATTAAAAACTTCAGGCAAAAGCGTTAAAATCGACCTGCCGAACTATTTTAGTTTGTAAACTAACGCAGATTGTGAACTTTGATGGTTTGACACTTTTGACAGCTTTTGTCTTGTAGAGCCAATCAGATTATTTGAACCATTCTAACAGGGATTCTGATTGGCTTATTGTAGCGTGCTCTATGAGAGTATAGAGCATGCTGACGACATTGTTGTTCGCTTTGGAAATAAAGTTTGTTTTGAAAATTGAAAGTAATACATGGGGAATTTGACGGATTCTTTATTATAAAACAAATAGAGAAGCCTTGACTGTGCTCTGTTCTGTTATAAAGCACTTAGCACTTAGACTACGTCTCGTGTTTCTCCCTACACTTCTTTCGTGCTCTAGCCGCTTCCTGCGTGCTTTATTACAGAACAGAGCACAGTCAAGGCTTCTCTATTTGTTAAATATATATATATATATATTTATACACGATAAACTGGCATAACATCAGGGTAGTAAAAAGTAGTAAAAAGTAATAAAAATTCTCCTTGTCGCTTCATGCTACAGAAAACGAAAAAAATAAACTGTACTACAGCGGCTGGATGGGCCATTTGGTTCGAATGCAGACCTAAATTTCATTATATTGCAATATGGAGTGTCCTGTATACTTCCGTAACAATATCAAACATTTTTTTCCTTTTAAGAACCATTGTGGCCAAGCCCCTTGCAAGAACAAGGCAATCTGCCAGTCTGGTTTCACAAGCAAAGGATATCGCTGTTTATGTAAACCAGGATTTACTGGTCCTTTATGTGAGAACGGTGAGAAATGGATTTCAATTAATATTTCGACATAAATTTAAAATAGCCTAAAAGATAAAATGTCGATGAAATGTTCATACAATTGGTGTTAAATAGCACAGCACCTGAGCTCAGTCTAGCTCTGGCATGCGCACTGGCTACTTTGCTCGCCTCCAGGGTTGACATTCCTATTTCAGTGGCTGCTCTTCTGTTACTGCCGCGGTTTTAATCTTCCCAGCACCCGTTTAACTTTGGTGCAAATAAAGAAACATCCTCGAGATCCATGACATGTAAATTGGATGAACTTTTTGCGAAATTAGTTCATGAAATATGGATATGAATACACTTTACTTAACTTTGCTGATCAGGAGAATTTATGACAGAAATTATTGCCAAATTCCGAGGAAAATGTAGCGCAAGCGAGGCTCCGTGGACACAGTTAGCAATGACGTAATCGTGCATAATTGTTATTTTCCCCGAATCAAATTAAATTACTTTTATTTTTCCCCGACAACTTCCGAGCCAATGGCAACCAAATCAATACATCCTTTAATAACCTCTAGATGCCTAATTTAACGCCCCAAGAGGAGAGCTATTACTGGTGTCCATATGGTCGTAATAAAATAAAACAGTTAATCTTCTATCTCCCTCTGAACCTCAAGTATCGAAACAAGAATTATGACGGTTTCAAGGGTTCATATAAGGAAGGAACATCGGTTCAAATATGTGCAACCTTTTCCCCATGACTGAAAAAAACTATACTCTCTAAATGCAGAACCTCTGCTTTCCATCACAATTTGTGAGGGAAAATCAGGAGCCATAACGTGTCAAAATGGACAGAGAATCCACATCTTGGATGCTACATATGGCAGAAGGAACAAACAAACATGTCCTCATCCTGCAGACTCTAACACCAACTGTCTTTCTCCAAATTCTCTCTCAGCCGTGTACAACTTGTGTAACAACTTAGTGTCGTGTCACCTGGCGCCTAATAACGGTATGTTTGGGGGAGATCCATGTGGAGGAACCTTCAAGTATCTTTTGGTCGAGTACCAGTGCGTGTAGAGGTCAAGGAGAAGTCAAAATAATGATAGCGATAAAGATAACAGTAACAGTTATAGTAAAAAAACAAACATAAAGGAAAAAGTAGAAAAGGTAACTGACCTATTGTAGCGTGGCAGAAGAAATCTTTCCTAACTACTGAATACCAAATAATCTTCATAAATCGTTGCCTTCATCAAGTCATTTCCATATCACAAGTAAAAAAAGGATCTTCAATTGAACCGCTGACTCTCGAAACCAACTTGTTCAGATATAGTAGAAAAAAGAGTATCTCTTTAGTTTGTTTTTCAAACACGACTTTACTGAGCCATCTTTCCATAAGTATAGAGCTGCAATCACGAGGAATGGAGCTGTAAGCTGAGAAACTGTCTGCTTGATTTCAAAGGGTTATAAATAAACCCAAGTAGTCACAAAACGGCTCGTCTCATGGAACGTTTTGATCACACAGTCAAGGGTAAAAGAAAACAAAGAAGAAAAACGAAAGTATTAACGAGCACGTTTAATCGCCATCATTTCGTAAACTAAAAGCTTTCTTTCAAAATAATAATAGCACTCAAGCAACAGGGTACTTCCTTTTTCGATTTGTTCTTAAACGATCACATCTCAGTAAATTCTGTATCCGATTTATTCGCTGACTAACATCCTCGTCAATGTTGCTGCATCTATTATCTCCACCTTCGTCATCTGAAAACATCATGTCAGGTTCCTTTTGGCTGTTCTCTTCCGAAACATTTGATGGTTGATCATTGGAAGGTTTGCTATCCTCAAGATTAAAACGGACTTTCTTGGCAGAAACGTTAGCTTTGTACGGGGTAATCGTTGCGTCTAACTGACCATCCTTCTCTTTGCATCTTTTGTCTTCGAGATCTGCAGATGTTTTCGACTCTTTGCAGATACCTATTTCATCTCCATCTTCAACTGCTTGTTCATTTTCAGTCTCTGATTCGTTTCCTCTACCTGCTTTCGCGGCTCGCAGAGCTAGAGAAGCTTCATTGTCCCTCAGGAAAGCTATGTCATCTTTGTCACCATCTCTGCTATTCTTAAGATTGCCCTCAGATTCTGCACTTGGTCCCAAAGTGGAAGTGGTACTGGAGTCAAGAGCCTTTGATATAAAGGCCTCATTCGCAACATCAATACTTGAAGCTGTAGCCTGTGATTTGTTTTCAGATATATTTCGTTGACTTTCAAGAGATTCTTGATATATCTTCACAGCTGCACAGCTCTTCGCACCCGCATTTAATAGATTAGCCTCATCACTTAATACGACGACGTCTCTGTTACATGCCCCATAGTTGATATACCCTTCTGCACAGCTATTATCGACCAAATATTTTCTGTCTGGAACTGTTTCTACCTGTCTCAGCGTTTCAGTAGGTTTCGAAGTCTCACTCGATGCACTACCATCAACGCTGCCTAAATCATCCAACTCTGTCTGAAACAATGATACGTATCAACATTTTCACGTTCTTGAATAACTATAGGTAAGTTACTAAGAGATTTTAGTAACGCTTTTAAGAAATAACTCCATTGATGTGAGGTTCAGTAAATTTATAATTGATGAGGATCAGGGTGAGATAACTGTTAAATGTAGGTTTGTTTCACTTCACATCATTCCTCTCAAGTGAGTCCAACTGATAATGCTCTTAGTCTTAGTGCTTGATCTCAAAAAAAGAGTTACTGATCCAACCGCAATTTACAACTTACAATGCAGCGCAAATTGATGAGACAAATAGACTTAGAAATGCATTTCTTTACTTTCTTGGTCCATTGATTGCTTTCTTCATAAATCAAATGAAGGTTGTGAAATAACTTCACCCTTACTACTCTTGAAGGGTATTGAGGCAATTCAAAACAAAACAAAGACGATGTACCTTAGACATGGTATCAGTCGGAAAGGTAATGGAAATTTCTTCCTTAGTTTTCACTTCTTTTCCATCTTTTTGAGCTGCTTTCTGAAACAGGTCAGCGACCCTTTCTTTCAGCACAACGCACTGATTTTCCAAAAGTTCGGTCCTTCCCACCTGAGTTATGAAGCTCTGTTCAGCTTGCAGCAGCTCATGATGTAGCAATGAGAGTTGCTGAAATATGAATCACTCAGCCAATCAATCGACCAGTTGTCTAGATAACATTCATCCAGTAATAAATCAATTATTGCCTGAAATAATCCACGATCTGGCCTGCCTTA